AAGGGTTGAAAAAAACCATAATCTCCAAGCCAAACCTGTCACAATGACTGCACTTGCATGCAAGGTTTTGGCAATGTACATGCTAATACAAAACAAGACTAGAGCAGTTTACATATGAAGTGCCCACCTAAAGGCTCAGGTGTTGGGGGGCTTGGTCCATAGCTGGTGATGCTATTTTGGAAGGGTTTGTAAACATTGGGAGGCATAGCCTAGCTGGAGGAAGTAGAACACTAGGGGTAGCTTCCTGTCGCTGTCTTCACTCTCTGCTTCCTGTCCACCATGAAGTGAAGAAACGCCTCTACTGCACCAGCTGCCATAATGCTCTTTTGAAGTGTGTGGACAGAACTCTCTGAAAAAGCCAAATCATCCTTCCCTCCTGTAAGTTGTTCTCGAGGTGTCTTGGTCACAGTAATGCAAAAGTAACTAATAAAATAATCAAGTCCTTAGCAGATATTTCCCTAAAGAAGACGCAGGGCTGGCAAGATGGCTCAGAGGGTAAAAAACGCTTGTTGGGCAAGACTGACAACCTGAGTTCAATCCCTGGAACCCACAATGAAAGGAGAGAACTGATTTCCAAAAGTTGTCCTCTGACCCTCACATGTGCATGTGTGCACACACAAAACAATAAATAAACAAGTTCATTAAATTAAAAAATAATGAAGGTGTACACAGAAGTCTCTCTCCTCATCTGGAGAGGACATTTTCCAAGACTCCCCTTGGATGCAAGATACAGAGGAGGGTATTGAACCCTACAGACAGTATGTATTTTTCCTGTGCATATGAATGAGCTATGATAAGAATTTAATTTATGAATTAGGCACAGGAAGAAATGAACACAGGTGGATCCCTGGAGCTCATTGGCCAGCAAACCTAGCCAATGTGATGAGCTCCAGGTTCAGTGAGAGACCTTGTCTCAAAAAATAAGATGGAGACTGATCAAAGACATGCACATGAACACATGCACACACCCAGATGAACATGCACACACATCACACATACACACACACACTCAGATTAGTGCAGGAATGAATGTAAATGGCCAACAAGCATGGGAAATGGTTTTCAACCTTACTATTTATTAGGGAAATGCAAATCAGATGAGATACTACTTCATACATTAGGATGACCAGAATCAAACAACAAGAGGAAAGTAACTGGAGAAACTGGAACCTTTTAAGCTGCTAGTGGAAATGTAAAATGGTTCAGCTGCTGTGGAAGTTTCTAAACTACTTAAACATAGAATTACCAAAGAACTGAACACAGACCCCAAAGAACTGACAGTAAGCATTCAAACAAAAAACTTACATGCAATTGTTCATAGCAGTACTAATATTAGCCTAAAGGTAGAAACAACCACTAGCCATCAACTGATGAACACCATGTGGCACACACCTGCCATGGAATAGTATGCATCCATAAAATAAAGTCAAAGAACTAACACAATGTAGGTGAATCTTGAAACCACAGACAAAGGTCACATATTTTAAGATCCCATTTGTATGCGTGTCCAGTATAGGCAAATCCAGAGACAGAAAGCAGATTAGTGGCTATCAGACTAATGTATGGGAGGAGGGAGACTGACTGCTTAACGGTTAATGGAAAATTTCTAGAACTAGTTAGATGTGGTGGGTACATACCACTATTAATACTGACATTAATACTTAATGTCATTCTTTTGTACATTTATTTTTATTTTATGAGTATTTTGCCTGCATGTATGTAAGTGTACCTGTGTTGTGCAATGCCCGCAGAGGTCAGAAGAGGGTGTCAGATCCCCTGGAACTGGAGTTATGGTTATTAGCCACCATGTGGATGCTGGGAATTGAACCTGAGTACTCTGCAAGAGCAGTCAGTGCTCTTAACTGCTGAGCCATCCCTCCAGTCCTCCTTTATACATTTTATAATGATAAATTATATGTAATTATCTATTTTGCTACAACAAAAAATGAGAATTGGGCTGGCAAAATGGTTCGCTGGGTCAAGGAACTTGCTATCAAGCCAGATGATGTGAGTTTGATCTCTTAGACTCACATGGTGAAGAGAACACAGCCCCCAAAGCTGTACCCTGACCTCCACATGTGTATCCTGGTACTTTCACAATGTGAATCACCTAGCTCTTGGGAAATGGAAGGAGGAGGATCAGGAGTTCAAGGTCATTCCTGGCCAGGTATCAAGTTCAAGATCACTATGACTACGTGAGAATCGGGGTGGGGTGGGGGTATTCCCAGTGCTAGTGTTTGGACATATCTAGTATGATGATATGCATTCATAAAAAGCTAGCAGATCCTCTTCAAAAAGACAGATGCTAGGCTCTTCAGTCCTTTACCACATACCCTGATTGCACAAAAGATCAGTGTAGAACCAGCTTCCACGAAACTCTAATTTCAAGACTGGTGCTATTACTCTAGGAGGGGCAATGGCATACTGAGAGTTACAGCCTCACAGTGGTTCCTCACAGATAGGCTGTCATTGCTGATGCCACTACACTGCCACGGCAGATAGAGAGGGTAGTTCCAGCATGGCCAGAAGCTCCTACAGTGGTCAGCAAACTCATTCAGAATGAGAGAGGACGAGAGGCCAAGTCCATCCTTTATAGGGCACATAGGCGAGGAAGTCACCACATCACCCCCAGAAAGTGCAATGGAAACTGAAACAAAACACTCCCCTTGACCATCAAAAGAGCTCAAGTTCTGGGACGCTCCTAGGATTCCCCTGGCACATACCTAAGAGCCGGATGCCATTGGCACTGGTTCCACAACAATGCGGATGAAATGCACTTGAACTTTTTGTTCCATGGGATTCCCTGTGCTTCACTTGGCTCCACCCAAGTCTTTCACTTCCCTCCCTTCAGGTTTCAAGGCTCTGCTCTGCCTCTTGTTATCTGAGCTGATCTTCAGATCAACACAAGGTGCCAACTCTAGGCTCCTGAGGTGTCTGAGAACTTTGAAACCAAGGCCAGGTGTCTTGTCAGCCACTGACCAAGACAGGCTTACCAGATCTGGCTTTAAGCATTTGGGCCATATGGCTCTTATCTAGAAATGCTTGTATGTGCAAAGACCAGTCAGGGCTCAGCATAGTGTAGATGGTCAACAGTCTACAAATATACTAATGAATGAACTAGTGACCATGCCAGGCCTGCATTAAAACCAGCAAATCCCCTCTGCAACAAAGAGTTATGGGGTCATATAGACTCCATTTTGTTTGTTTGGTTTTTAAATCAATTTGTTTAAAAAATCTATTTTTATTTTACATGTATGAGTGTTTTGCCTTCATGTAAGTAATGCCATGTGTGAACAAACCCATAGAGGCCAGAAGAGGGTCTTGGATCCCCTGGAACTGAAGTTACAGACAGTTGCGAGCCACAGTGTGGGAGCTGGGAACTGAACCCAGGACCTCTGCAAGAGTCCTGCATTGTTGTTTTTTGGTTTTGGAGGCAGGGTTTCATTATGTACAAGATGGCCTCAAACCCACAAAGACCCACCTGCCTCTGCCTCTGAGTGCCGGGGATAAAGGCGTGGGCCACCACACAGATTCAGTTTTTCTTCAAAAGCATTACTCTTCAGCACTTTCTCCCAGTTATCGCTCTAGTTTTGAATTTCTAGTTTCTTTGAATGGGGAAAGCATACTACTTTTAAACGACCAGCAGCCAACATTTTCCAAGAGAAGGTCATTGGAAATGTTGTTAGAAGGACTCTATCCAGTCACTTAAAAAAAGACTATTGTTAGTCTGGGGCAGGAAAATACACAAGATTCATACATACACTGTCAAGCCTGGCAAGAAAGATTTCAGACAACTTCCACCCTTCCCACCCAATCCCAAGTAAATAGGGCATTTGTTTGTATTTCCACATTGGCTACACCAACGAAAATACCTCCTCCACCTAGAAAAACAATCTGGAACATTCAGGCATGGAACTGTGCAGGCAAAGTTTTAGTGCACACTGGAGCGTGGAGCAGATAATTATTCTTAATAAAAGTTTCTCCCGAGAACAGTTTTCCTCAAGTTTACCCTTAGTATTAGTATCTGGTTTGGTGGTTCTAGATCTTTCAGGAATAAAGCTTTTTGTTGTTCTCTATTAAAACTGGAGCCAGAAGGAATCTTTCCACTGCAAGACAGTAAATTTTACTGTTTAGGGAAAAAAGTCACTTGTTCATTCACACATTAAACAGATAATTATATTGAGGTCTTGGCTATCTCTGAGGGCAGTTTCAGTTATTTGGTCCACACATTCTTACGTTCCACACCTGTCATTCTAATAGCCTAGGAGATCAATTCACCTAGGTGGAAAATGACTATTACTCTTAGCCCAGAGATATAGAGGACATGTATTTTATATTCTCTCTCTCTCTCTCTCTCTCTCTCTCTCTCTCTCTCTCTCTCTCTCTCTCTCTCTATCTCTCTGTCACTTTAGGTTTTCTGCTTTTCACTAGCTTCAGGTATAAAGTTGTCTGAGGTTCGTTCCGGCGATTGAGAGGGGGAAAGGCTAATTGCTTGGATTAAGAATCCGAAAGGCACCCCCTGGAAACTTGGGGAGCCTTGGAGAACACTGGAGTTCGTTTGCTGGTCTTTTGTTCACTACTCGTCCCCGCGTGATTCAATGACCCTCCGGGGCCGATGGCAGGTAGCTCTCCGCAGCTCGGCACCAGGAGCGCAGTGGGCGCCGACCCCCACCTCCCCCGCGGTTGCGGGGACGCGCGGTGGGACCCGAGCTCGGGAGCCGCGGACGCACGAGGCAGCCCCCCGTCCCTGCTCACTGACCCTGGGGGAAGCCCGGGGCGGGGGCCACGCACTTCTTCCCCGTGCCGCGACCCCGCAGGTCCGGGGTGAAAGCCACGGGCCGGCCGTGAGCTCCGCCACCCCCGAGAACTCCGCGCCCACGGGCGCCCCGGCCGCGAGCACCGCTTTCCCGACGTCGGGGACCCGACGGCCGTCGCCGCGCCCTGCGCCTGCCTCCCCCAGACCCCGCGGCCCAGCCCGGCTCGGAGGGGTCAGCGCTCACCGAGACGTCCCCTCCCGGAATCGCAGTGTCCCCGCAGACCGCGACCCGGAGAGCT